TTGATAGATCTTGATGAGAGAATTCTAAAAATATTAATTTTATTTAAAACCGACATTTATATCAAAAGTTATATTATTTTAAAGTTTAATATTTTGATAATAGTGGTATATGTTAGACTTTTCAAGAAAAACTTTTTGTACTTATCCTTAATATATTAAAATTTTATTAGGAGGGGATTTTGACCAAAAAAAATGCTTCAAACCCCCTTTCTCCCCCACCCCCACCACCCCCACTGTTTTTTGATTGGCTCAAATTTTTATTTTTATTTTTATTTTTATTATTATTTTTTTCAATCTTGAGAGCACAGCCCCCCACGTGGAGCTGGGGGTGTTGGGGGTCACCCCCCACTGGGAGTCCCCAACACGGTTGTTTGACTAAATTCCCTTTTTCTTATTTGCAAAAAATGAGTAATATTATTAATGAAAATGAAGTATTACAACTAAGAGGACTTGCTGAATCTGCATCATAGCGATCGAACTTATGCCAATTAGATTCACCCAAGAAAAATTATCAATTCATGTACAAGCAAGTCCAAACAAGGACGTTGACCAGTGGACAATCCAGAAAGACTACAATGAGCACTAAACAGAACCATGTGATGGTAAGAGCATCCACAATGGATAGGGTCAGGTGTCAAGTTTTGGCTAGCTAAGAATGTTGTTTGGGGCTGCAATGGAACTGTTAACGTATGTGCTAGTACTATGTATTAGTGTCAGATATTAATATATATGTTAACTGCAGCGAGCGTTTTAGCCAGCGAAAGAGAGAGTGAATGTGCTTTGGGGACGTCTCCCGGACGTCCGACCGGTCTGGCTCCAAATCCTTCAAGAAAAGAAAAAAAGTAAATTTTTTGGTCTTACCGGTTGACCGGCCGGACGTCCGGCAAGTTGACCGGTCAATAGCATTTTTTATTTTTTATTTTTTATTTACTTGTTGGGATTTTTTTTTTGACCTGAAATTTAATTTTAGGCTTGAAATTTTTTATTAAACTAAATTATTTATTTATTTCATTTATTATATATACATATATATATATATATATATTTTTAACACATCTATTGTATCACTATTCATTCACTATTCACTCACTAAATTAACAAACCCTTAACACATATTTTTGGGTTCTACTTTTAACACTTTTTGTCATATAACACATTTTAACACACAACTTTAACACATCCATTGTGGATGCCCTAAGTGATATCTCAACTACCACTGATCAAAGCATGAGGCCTGATGTGTTTAATAAATTTTAAAGATGAGATGAAGTCTTGAACTGAATAATCCATAACGTTTGCCGAACTTTTCACCCAATATTATTATTATTATTATTATTACTTACAGATAAGGGTGTAGCTTGAATGGATTCGGGTAAGTTGACGAATTGTTTAGGTCGAACCTAAATTGTACTGAGAGTTACTTAGACCAACTAAAGTCAAAATTCTAATATGAGGTTGTCTATTCAAGTCCGATCTGAGTGAAGCCCAACTTGTCTGAGTTGCCTATTACACCTAAATTTGTGATTTTTCTTTGGTGTAGCTAAGTTAATTAATTAGTTAAAATTGGACTTTATTAACAAATTTTTTTTATAAAAACATTAATAATATCAAAATAAATAATTTATATACTGTGAGAGAGATGGAGATGAAAGTGCTAAGAATTCAAGAACTGATATGTCTGCGTTAGTCTTTATAATGTTTGATGATAAAGTTTTAAATATAATTTGACGATTTAAATTATTTTAATATCATTCAACAACCAATGATTCACATGTATATTGTACAATTTAGATTTTAGATTGCTCGATTATGTAGTGTTTGTCTTAAACTGTCCAAATTTAATTTAAACTTATAAATTTTTGACTACGCTAGCATCATATTCAAAAATATATTGCTCAAGTTTTAAAATAATTCCAACTCGACTCAGATTGCTCCCATAATTGCACTTCCTACTTACAGATGTGATGTCGTTATCATTAATTTGTATATCCTTTTCCTCCAACCTAGGGTGTAAATTTGGCCCGGCCCCGCCCATGTCAAGCCTTGTGGGCTCCCGCCAAAATTTGGATCAGGTCGAGTTGGCCCATGGGCTAGAAAATTAGGTCCAGACCCAAGGGTATTTGGGCCTTGGGCAGACCAATGAGTCTGGGCCGGACTTGGGTGGGCCTGTACATTTTTATTTTTATTTTTATTTTTCTATCAAAATTTTATTATTTTCCACTAAAAAAAGTATTGGGTCTTGGGCGGGCTAGGCCTTGAGTGAGCTTTAAATGGGCCAATGGGCCGGGACCAACTTCAAAATGATGACCCAAGCCTAGGCCCAAGGTCTCGAACTGGGCTCGGGCCCCAGCCCAACCAGGTCTGACCGCCCACAAGCCGGGGCCATTTTTACACTCCTACTCCAACCATACGCCAGCTTGCAGTAACACAGTTGTTCAGCCAATGAAAATCTGACACCTAATAAATTATTTTATGTCTTGTAGATAAATAAATAAGGACCACTTGAAAATGCAACAAGTCAAGCGGTATTTTGGACATTGCAAATTCCTTTCGTACCAACTGTTTTTCTTATGAAAGCGAATTAGTTTATGTCTTTTTCTTTTCTTTTCTTTTCTAATTGGCAACTAATTCATTTCAAATGAATTTGTGTTCCCACTGGAAAATATGTGCCTTCTAAACAAGCCGTAAACAAAGAAAATTAAAACATGGCTGAACAAAGCCAAGTTAATTGTATTTGCATTGATCGATAGTGCCATTATTGACTAAATCAGTTGTATTTGCATTGGTCGATGGTGTCATTGTGGACTATCAAGTCATCTTCCTCTATTGACTAGGGGTGGTTTAGGATGATCTAAATAAGTGTGCTTTTTAATTTTTTTTATGAAATATGAGTTGGGTATGGGTTGGTTTAAAGTGATGTGGTAGAGAAGTGATGTAACTTAAATAAGATGATGCGACTTAAATTAGATAGTGACTTTTTGACGTTTTAACTTTTTTAGGTTATGACAAACAAGACCTAAATCAATTATATTTGCATTGGTCGATAGTGTCATTGTTGACTATCAAGCTATGACGCACGGAAATTTTAAAATTGTTGCGTACTCGTATTCGATATTTATTGGGTATTGGTATTTGTACTGATAGAGTTATATGCGTACTGGGTACTCTTATATATTCTTTGACACTTAGGTACTCCGTAGGTACTTCATAGGTACAGAAAAAAGATACATCGAGAGTACACGAAACTATGAGACATTGATGGAAATACATTTAATTTATTAGAGATTCTGATTTATTTGAAATTGTAAATCCTTTACTTAATGTGTCATAAATGAAAGGTGTATTATTCAATATTGAAATTGATGGAAATTGTAAATCCTTTACTTAAGTTTTCAAGTTTTGCTTAGCTCACTTATGAAATGAAATTTTATTTTGTAATTTCTCATATTTAATGTTATTAAAACAGTTTATAGACTTTGTTTTGGTATTGGTATTGTTAAATTACGATTTTTCTTTTGGCTTTATAATTTTTTCTTTTAGTTTTGGTATTAAATTTTGATTTGTAGATTGAATCTCCAAATTAAAAAAAATAAATAAATAAAGAAATTATTGAAGTATCCCAATAGTGTACCTGTATCCTATTTTTTTTTTTTTGGTGGGTTTTTCCGTATTAGAATACCTGTAACGTATCTGCACCCGCACCCGTGCTTCATAGCTATCAAGTTATCTTTGTCTCCAATCTACTATATGGACTGAAAAGATTAGACTATATGTTCTATTTTACTAATATTAATTGTTTATTTTGTTAAATTTTGTACATAAGTTATTCATGAAAAATATCTAATTGATCTGAAAATCGTAACTATATGATTTTATTATGTTTTTTTTAACCAAAATTGATAGTCAGCTAATTTTAAATTTTATACTTGTGATTTTTTTAGACAAATAAATGAAATAATGTGGCTCTAATTATTGGATTAATCAACAAAGAATTAGTGTGTATTGTAATTTTTTATTTATTAAAAATATCATATAAATAATATCATATGATATTTTTGAAGTATTTAATCATTTTTCATATATTTTACAAATACAATTGCAATTATGTGTGAAGAGATTGTTTTAACTCTTATAACTTACCAAATATATAATGTCAGTTTTTTTCGAACAAGTATATATAATGTCAGTTAGAATTCATTTAATGACGAGTAATGTTATATAGACTAAAATTTTGAATAAAATCTTAGTAAAAGATATATGCATCTAAACATCATTAGATATTCAAGTATTATAATTTTTTTCGTCAGGAGAAGAATTCCTTTCAGTTCAAAATCTAGACTGAAGGGGGTTGTTTCGGCTTATGGGCCCATTATGAGTCCCATTTTGATAATTAGAATCTTTCATTTTGTCTAGCATTTCGTGTATTTCATTCAAAAAAAAAATTTAGTCGATCCGATAACTGTAACTTGTTCAATTTACCGTATTTTTTACTAAAAAAATAGGTGACAATTGTATTTTTAAAAAAGGAACCATAAATTTTTTTGATGACAAAAATAATAAATTAAACAAGTTGCACTTATCGGATCCACCTAATTTTTTTTGTGAATGAAATATATGAAATACCCGATAGAGTGAACTGTTTGAATTATTAAAATAGGCTCCATGGTAAACCCCATAGGCCGAAACAGCCCCTTTTTGGACTGAGGGAATCCTCCTTCTTTTCATCAATCACATTTAGCCTTTCATATTTTTAGTATGAGCGCTTCTATCTATAGAATTATTTTGTAACGACTTCAATAATGGTACTGTGTAAACAGCAATACCATGTGCCTAGTTCTTGTCCTCTTATGAGAGATTTGGTGGCAAAAGGCTAGCCATATAGGTTACAACCCCTTGTTTAATGTACAGTTGAGATTGAATTGATGTAAATGAAATATACATGTAGAATGAATTTCGACCACATTAATATTTTTAATAAAATTGATAAAAATTCTGAATGTGTTTAGGGTTATTGTATGAACAATACATCTGACATTGGTGCCTTGGACATCTCACTAGAAACATCTATATAAATAGCTTGTTTTGGTTTCTTGATGCCAAACCATCCAAACATTATTACACAAAAAAAATAGAGTTAAGTAAAGATTTTTCTTTTTGCTTTCCGTGCATATGGAATCCTCATTATTCTCTATTGAAACTCTGGTTAAGAAGATCAAAGAAGAGATGTTCACAAACTTTGATCTTTACTCATTTGTTTCCAAATCTGCTTATGACACAGCATGGTTAGCCATGATTCCAAGCACTCAACACTGTGATCATCCCATGTTTAAGGGTTGCTTGGATTGGATACTAAACAACCAGAAAGAAGAAGGGTTTTGGGGAGAGCTCGATAGCAATGGTGTTCCCACTATTGATAGCCTTCCTGCAACTCTTGCTTGCATGGTTGCACTGAAAATGTGGAATGTTGGAGATACAAATATAAAGAAAGGTACATATTGTTATAGCAGTACTATTAAAATTTCACAAAAGTGAAGTGCACATAAGATACATATTATTATTTATTACATTTCACACATGCATCCATGTTCATGTTCTGCTGAATGCAAATCCGATATCCCCTTTTATTAGATTTTCTAATGTAATAGTTTAATGCCTTCTTCTTTATTGATGTATCACTTTATAATACTTTGTACTTATCAATAAAGATTCATTTACTGATAAAAAAAATACTCCCTCCGTCCCAAAATAATGGTCCCTTTTGGGGAATTCAACTTTTTTTGGTAGTACAATTATTGTATTTGAAAAAAGTTAATTTTCCAAAATTACCCTTTTGATAGTACATTTTTTGGGAATATCAATGTCATAATTGTACTTTTTACATTGTTTATTAATTTAAAAGAAGGGCAAAATAGGAAATTCACATTATTTTTGTACTTGATTTTTGAAGAGGGACTAATATTTTGGGACAATGAAAAATGGAATAAGGGACTAATATTTTGGGACGGAGGGAGTAGCTCGGACGGTTTTGAACACCAAGGATCCTCTAGAGTTTTTTTTTAAAAATTTTTTAAAATGGTGTATTGTGTGGTTGAGATTTAATGCTAAAAAATTGATGTGACTTGTCATTAAATCTCAACTACACAGTACACCACTCTAAAAAACTTTAAAAAAAAAAACTCTAAAGGATCCTTACTCGATTTTGAAGTCCTAAACCGTCAGTTGCGGGTTTTTTTTTTTTTTTTTTAAAAAAAAAAACCAAAAAAATTTTTTGGGGCCCAAAAAAAAAAAAAAAAAAACAACAACAACAACCCAGAGAAATTCTGTTTTTGGTCTTTGAAATTTCTCTGGACA